TTTAACACACGACAGGGATCCTCGGATCAAATCCTGTCAATGACTTAGAATTTATCATAAAAAATATGTGTAGTTAATTTGAAATCAAATAAAATTGTATTTGTTAAATAAAAGTTTAATAAAAAATCAGAAAATTAGGAATAACAGAATTCGAATAGTTGAATTGAATTAGGAGCAAGAAGAGAAGTATTGGAGCTTGAAAGAAGAATGAAGAATTGAAGAAAATAAGAAGAAAAATTAAGAAGAATATAGAATAGGATACATAAATAGATTGAAATTGATATAAAAAATTAGAATGTAAATAAATAAAAAATGTTGTAGGTGGCTAAATGCTCAGAGTAAGCAAAAGTTTGCATGAATTATTTTACAAGTACTAATAAAAACATATTACAAGCAAATTATGGACAGATGCATACGAAATTTTTTCGTAAAAACTCTATACAAAAATGAAAAAGCTTTTATGACCTTATATGTATATTATGGTTCTGAATCAAACTTTATACGTTAATAATTTTGTGGACTTATATATTATGATTAGAATCTTTTATACATCTTACTTCACGCAGAATGTTAGATTTTAATTTGCATAGCAATAGTAGTGGGTATTTCGAGTCGATAAGATCTTGTTTGAAATAAAATAGTGCAGTAAACGGAGAGGAAAAAAGGGTATAACCTCTGAATTTTTTTACTGTGCTCCGAATTGAATGAAATTTTGGAATTAGGTTCATCTTACCCTCAAGTTCAAAAGTGAAAACAATTCGGGTTGCGTTATCACCCCCCGGGGGGGGGGGTGACACTCCTTCTAAATTGTGTAATTACATTTTTTCAAAATAACGAGATATAATGAAAATAATTTTGATTTTTAAAAAAAATGGAAAAAAAAGTTTTTATAAAATTTTTGAGTTTTTTGAAAATAGTTTGTACTAAAGTAGTGAATCTGCTAGAATCCATCAAGATGTCTATAATGAAGTGAATTCTAGATGGAATATGAATTACTTTAATTCTGGTGGAAATGGCGCTCATTAAACCATATGATTTGAAAGAAAAAAAACTTAGTATATGCTTCTTATTTGCATGATAGCTCACTCATTTTACACGCAAAAAACTTGTAACAGCACTCATTTTAAAGCTTATGTTAAGTACTATAAAACCCAATTTCACCGAAATACATAAAATGTAAAACCTCGCCACTAGATGGCTTTAAATACAACAATTAAATCTTGAACGAAATAAAAAACGACTTTGCTCTAACAAATCTTGCTTAATATTTTTTCTAGAACACATTATATAATACCGATTCATTAAGATTTTTATTGACATTATTTTGTTCATTACATGATTTTTGTTAAAATGTATATTTTAGGAGATACTTGCAAAAAAACGAAGAAAAACGCTAAAAATATATGAAATCATTCATATACATTTTACTGGTCATACTTTTAACACTTACGGGACGGCACCGATTTCAAAACAATCTACTGTTGTACCGGTTGTAAACTTGATTTTATTGTGAATGTTATGCAATTTGTTCTATAAAAATTTGTGATCATTGAAGGACATACATTTATAATATTAATTTATTTTTGATCATTTTATAAAGAATGGTGACGTCCAAAACAATTTCCAAAATGCATAGCTGGTTGATTTTGACATGTTTTACAATAAAATGCTGTTCGCCGCCTTCCTCCTGGTGCTTTTCTGTCAGAAGAGACAATACAATCCCTTTATTATCTTTCTCTCGCACTTAGAATATGCCACTGATTAGTCCGTATATTTGTTCATTTTTGTGCTGCCATAATGGTTTGTTTTTTATATTATATTGTCTAATAATTCATTTGTAAAATATAAAGTAAAATAATCTATAGCATGTCTTATATTGCTTGGTATTTGTAGTCGGGGTGTTTGTTGATATATGTCAAACTCGATTATTGAAGGAGATTCGGCACATTCGCTAATGTCTTTCCGCTCTTCATTTAATTTGTCGAACTTCTTCTTTTTGTTGGTTGGATAATATCATCATCACATTCATCATTCTATCTATGAATGTCTATTTGAAACTTATCTTCACTACTGCTTAATTCACAAAATTTACCAGTCGTTTTGCCATATTTAAAACAGCTCGGTCGTTTTAAATATTAAAAGAAGACTATATAGCAAAGAAAAAGGCTAAAATTACTGCTAAGATAACTTAAAATTATTTTCAAAATACAACACTGTTTATCACTGCTATATGTAATTTATTTAACGTTTCGATGCAAACTGAGTCATTGTTTATAAAATAGCCTGTGTCTCATAGATTATGTTTGTCCACTGAGGTGGACAGCCGTCCCCAAAGAGTTAATAATAAGTACAAATTTTGTTTACATTTCTATGGGTTCCAAAGTTCAACATTATTTCAGAAAATTTCAAAGTATAAAAAAATCGAAATATAAAAAATTCAAATTTTTCAAAAAAGCCTATGTTTTTCCAAAATTTCGAAATTCTCAAAAATCCAAAAAGTTTTCCAAAAATTTTAAAGGTTTTTTTTTTAAATTTCAAATTACGGTACGGGAAGTACCAGCAATTTGCCTTAAGGCACAAAGTACTATAAATTTCTTCGCAAGTTTCAAAAATTTCCAAACACATTCACTCTGCATTTGTTTATCAACACCTGAAGATTACCAAGGCCATTTATATCTTCTGCTTACTATGTCACATCGTTTACATAACAAACATGGTATTAACACTTTCGGGACGGCACCTATTTCAAAGCAATCTACTTTACCGGCTGTAAACTTGATTTCATTGTGTAGGTATGCTATGCAATTTGTTTGATAAAAATTTGTGGTCATTGAAGGACATAAATTTATAATATTAATTTATTTTTGATCATTTTATAAAGAATGGTGACATTCAAAACAATTTCCAAAATGCATAGCTGGTTGATTTCGACATGTTTCACAATAAAATGTTGTTCGTCGCCTTCCTCCTGGTGCTTTTCTGTCAGAGCAGACAATACAATCCCTTTTTCTTTTAGAATTTAGAATATGCCACTGATTAGTCAGTATATTTGGTCATTTTTTCGCTGCCATAATGGTTTATTTTTTCTATTATATTGTCTAATAATTCATTTATAAAGTATAAAGTAAAATAATCTGTTGGATGTCTTATATTGCTTGGTATTTGTAGTCGGGGCGTTTGTTGATGTATGTCAAACTCGATTATTGAATAATAATCGCTAATGTCTTCCCGCTCTTCATTTATTTTGTCGAACTTCTTCTTTTTGTTGGTTGGATAATATCATCATCACATTCATCACTATCTTCGGTGCGAATAGTAATTTTGTAAAATTTGTCTGTATGAATGTCTATTTGAAATTTATCTTCACTACTGCTTAATTCACAAAATTTACTAGTCGTTTTGCCATATTTAAAAGCGCTCGGTCGTTTTAAATATTAAAAAAAGACTATATAGCAAAGAAAAAAGCTAAAAATACTACTAAAATAACTTAAAATTATTTTCAAAATACAACACGGTTTATCACTGCTATATGTAATTTATTCAACTTTTCGATGCAAACTGAGTTATTGTTTATAAAATAGCCTGTGCCTCATAAAGTATGTTTGTCCACTCAGGTGGACAGCCGTTCCCAAAGAGTTAAATGCTTTTAAATTGAACTCTGCAAAAGTTTGAAGAAATAATATTTTTCAAAAACAGATTTTTATCACTAATTATACTGAACAAACTATATAAAAAAAACAACGAAATAGTAATAATACTGAAATATTTTTGAAATTTTTTATTAGAATTAGCTTTATAATATAAGTATATGTAAATAGAAATGCCCTTATACAAATATATATATATATATATATATATATATATATATATATTTGTTATACTATGAACACGTAAATATTAGGAGGGCCATATGTGCTTTTACGTACGTATGTATGTGTTATTAATTATTATTAGTTACGTTGTTCTTTTGCACATGTTTAGAGTTTAATAATTTTATATATTTTTTGTGTTTTTCCTGGTTTGATTACTGAATTGAATCGACACATTAAGTGTCAAAACGTTTAATGGAATAAAGGATTTTCCTATTTTTTTTTACTTTTTTTTTAATTCGACGATTGGGCTGCAAAATAATTCAAATATGTATCAACGTCGACAAAACTATCAATATATATATATATATATATATATATATATATATATATATATATATATATATATAGTTATATAAATATTCAAAATCTATGTCAGCGATCCACGCTCGAATGCCTGCATCGAATTTATTTTCTTTTTAATTAATTCTTTTTTTAGTGTAGTTATAATTGCATTGGTATGGTTTGTGTGGAAAAATTGAAATTATGTCAGGAAGAGAAAAAAATTAAACAAGAGCTTGAACAAGGATGACGAAACACGTCTAATATCTATATTGGTCGTTTATTCAGCGGTTTTATTAAATAAGTTTGAGAGTTCTATATTCTATTCTATAGATTAGTGAAGAAATTAGTAGTTAAATATACTCAACTGATATTACAATTTAATTATCGTTCTACAAATTGATATACAATATCATGTAAAAATGTACACAAAAATTAACTTATTCATTTATTTTTTAAATCTTTTCAACAATTTTAGATTATTTTCAAAATTAGTAGTTTTAAAAGAGCTGTGCGCCCCCCAGAGTTTGGGAACCAGGAGATTAGTTGTTATGCAAGTAATAACCAGCGATTTCAAAATTTAAAAACAATCAATACTATAAAACGTTTTTTTTCATAATTTCAAAATTTAAGATTACAAAATCTTGAGTGAATAAAATTATTTCACAAATTTCAAAAATTGCGATATTATCTTATCTAATATTTTCGGGAATGATAAAATTTTCAAAAAATCAATTGTTTTACTTAATTTGTACTTATGTTTGTGTGATTATGCATACAACTTTCCAATGAAAAAAAATCACTTATAAACTTAAATTAAATCTGATACATCTACTTGTTCGTTCTTACCTTCGACTGCACAAATGTCTGTATTTCTTCGCAAAATTGCACAGAGTCAAGTCTTTCACACACACACTTTGTTTTACGCGAATTTATGCAACATTAATTTAATTAGCACTTTTGTTTTAATATTTAATTAATTTACGCGAATTTTATTAGTTACTACACTCACTTCTAGTTTAAAAAGTTTTTGGACTGGAAGAAATTTGCAGATTAGTGAAGGATACGGTCACAGTTTTTACCTTTCTATAGGATAATATTATCAATTAACACTCGATATTAATACAATCCATTGATAACTTTGCAATAACATTTTAAAAAACTTTTTTTTATTTTTTTAAGTAATTACCTTAATTTATATAATATAAAATTATCATATTCTCTTAAAAAATAATTTATAACGTCTGAAATGATTGTTTTTGCGTGGTTACCAATAAATTGACTAATTATTCACCAAATAAATAATGGTTCGTCATCGAAGAGTTTTCACAAAAACTTTTGTAACTAGTGTATGTGTATGAAAGTATGTCATTAGCAAGCTGCTGTAACTTCATTAGTAAAAAGTACCAGATTATAATATTTGTAAAAAAAAACGATAATATTTGATTAAAAGAACGAAAGAAGTAAACAGAAATCGAAAAATATTGATAAACATCGAACAATGATGATTTTTTTTTTTTTTTTTTATTCATTTATTATTTTACAGCAATCAGAACAGTACTTATATTCTATGAGCTGCATTGCTTATATATATATAAACTAAAAAGAATAAACTAAATAAGAATAAATAAAAATAATAACATAAAAATAGTAACTAATAATAATAGTAATATATAATAATAGTAAATAATAAAATAATATAATAATACTACAAAAAAAAATTAAATTAACTTAACTAGCATATTTTGATGATTACTCTAAAAAATATAGAAATTGTTCCATTAAACAATTTGCTAGATTAGGATATTATCCATTGGTGATTTACGCTTGAGCCTCCTGGAATGTGGCATCTCAAGCAGTTGTGCAACTATTTTATTTGGGTGGGCTTCTAGTTTTTGAAAGTGGTGGACACTGAAGTTTCTTATTACTTCCTCGATATATAAAATATTCAGATCGTCATGTATGGTCTTGTTACTGACGAACCACGGGGCATCAACTATCTGTCTGAGTATTTTTGATTGGGCACGCTGCATTAATGCTATATGAGACTTGCTGGCACATCCCCATAATTCAATACCGTAAGTCCATATAGGTTTTATCACTGTTTTATAAATTAATAATTTATTTTCAAGGGATAATTTTGACTTGCGTCCTAATAGCCAATATATTTCTGCAGTTCTGATTTTTATCGCTTTTACTTTTGAGCAAATGTGATCTCTCCAGGTCAGTCTACGATCAAGATGCATACCCAAGTATTTGACACAATTATTACTTGGTATTTTTCGTCCATAAAAGTAAACACTTGGGCATGTTGACTTGTTGAGAGTAAACGAAATATGACTCGATTTACTTTCGTTAATTTTTATTCGCCATTTTCTTGTCCATTCCTCAATAATATTAAGATGGCTTTGCAGATTGCTTGATGCAACAGATGCATCGATGTGTGTTGAAAGTACTGCAATATCATCAGCGAAAGTTGCTGTTATGGTCGATTGTAATGTTGGAAAGTCAGTTGTAAATAGAATATACAGTAAAGGGCCCAAAACACTTCCCTGTGGAACACCTGCTTCGATTTGATGAGATGCTGAAGTATTCGAGTTAACGCGGACTCTAAATTTCCTACAATCAAGGTAGGATTCTAGAATATTGTAATACCTACTTGGAAGTAGAGAGCCAATCTTGAATAAAAAGCCTTTATGCCACACCTTGTCGAAAGCTTGGCTCACATCTAGAAAAATCGCGGAGCAGAATTTCTTAGCCTCAAAGGTATTATTGATAACGCTTACAATTCTATGGCACTGTTGAACTGTAGAATGTTGGTTCCGAAAGCCGAATTGATGGTCTGGAAAAATATTTGTATTAGCTAAGATGTTTTGGAGTAGCAGTTTTTCAAGCACTTTCGAGACGATAGGCAAAAGGCTGATCGGTCTATATGAAGAAACCATGTTTGGATCTTTCCCACTTTTATGTATCATTTTTACTATGGATGTTTTATAGAAGGTTGGCCAGTAGTTTAATCTTATTATCGAATTGTATATATAAGTTAATAGGATAAATCCCTTCTTTGGCATTTCTTTAAGCATTCTTGAAGTCACCAAGTCAAATCCAGGAGATTTCCTATTCTTCAGTTTAGCAATTTCTTTAACTATCATTTTTAAAGAGAAGAAGTTTATAGTGTTTTCAGAGTTCACTAAGGTAAATGAAGTCAAACTGGTGTCCGCTGTATTTGAGAGATCTGGATTAGGTTGAAAAACTGAACTCAGATATTCAGCAAATAGATCAGCTTTTTCTGCGTCACTTCTTGCCCAGTGTAGGTGATTGCGCTCATCCCATCGAATAGGTGGATTTCTAATTTGAGGTTTTTGTTTGTGTTTAATAGGATTCCAGATTGAATTATCAAATCTATTAAGATTTGATACATACTTGTTAAAGTTCTGGTTGGAAATCTCTCTGAGCCTCAATTTAAGCCTGTTGCTTAAATTATTAAAAATATTTCTATCCGAAGGTAAATGACTTGATTGCCATTTGCGTCTTGCTCTCCTTTTATCTGCTAATAAATTTTTAATTTCCAAGGACAGCGATTGCTCCTGCTTGACGGTTGTTTTTGGAGTAGCTATTACAGCTGCTGCATGAAGAATTTCGTTAAACTTGTCAACAGCGTGGTCAATCTCTGCTGGATTTTTTAGACTAATTTTGAGATTTATCTTCTCTTCTATTTTACAACGGTATAGCTCCCAGTTAGTTTTCGTTGAATGAAGTCTAACAGGATTACAGACGTTCATAATAGAAGAAGAAATAGTGGCAATAATCGGGGAGTGATCTGATGAAAGATCATAGCTTGGATTAACATCAGTATACTTGGAATTTAAACCTTTTATTTTAAAAAAATCCAGTAAATCCGGCTTCTTTCTTATGTCAGTAGGCCAGTAGGTTGGAGTTCCTGTGGAAAGAGTAGAATAGCATTGTTGATCAAGAACTTCATAAAGTGTTCTTCCCTTTGGATTGATCAGTCTTGATCCCCAAAACGTGTGCTTGCTATTAAAGTCTCCGCCGACAATAAATTTACTTCCAAGCGACCCAAAAAAATCAGAGAATTGTGAAGCGCTAATCTTATGCCGGGGAGGACAATATACTGCAGAAATAGTTAATGGAAAAGAAGAAAGTTGAACTTGGATTGTTGTTGCTTGAAGGAATTCTTTGTCATACTTTTGGAGTTCATAATGAGAAATGTTGGACTTGATCAATACGGCTGAGCCACCGTGTGCTGTACCATCTGGATGACATGTATGATAAATATAGTACTGAGGAATAAATAAGTTGGAGTATTTAGTGAAGTGGGTTTCACTTACTAGTAATATATCAATTTTATTTTCATTAAGGAACACTATCAATTCATTTTTATGCTGTAAAAGCCCATTTGCATTCCATAATCCTAACCTTAGAAATTTGAACATTATTTAGGTTTATTTATAAGCGTAGATAACATGTTTATCATCATTGTGTTTTGCTGCATGAGCTGATTGAACATACTTTTGAACTCATTCAAAAAATGGAAGAGACTTGAATTAATACTTTCTGAAATTTCTGATTTACTAGATTTGATTGCTTGAGCATATGACATATGTTCTGAATTAAAAAGATTTTCATTACGATGATTAAAAGTAGAATGCTTTGCATATTTTGGATGATTATTCGAATAATTTTGATTAGTCGCACTATTGCTATTGGTGTTTATTTTAGGTTTACTGTTCAAGAGGTTTTTATAAGTTAGGCAACCCCTATAATTTGCAGTATGGGACTCTTCACAATTAGTGCAAAATGCAGGTAATTCTTTTGATTTTGTACATTTTTTACTCTCATGTTGATCACCACATTTTACACACCTAAATGGCCGGTTGCAGTAAGATTTTGTATGACCATACATTTGGCATCTACTGCACTGTGCTATTTCTGATGATCTCATTGGAGGTTCAAAATGCACAATTTGATTTAGGATTTTATTTAATTTGAAGATATCGGAGTTATTGCTGCTTGGCTCTAAATCAACATAAAACATGTTGAGTGGTAATTTACTTCTAAAGTAAATAACATTTGTTATATTCCTAACTTTATGCCCAAAATTTCAATTGCTGTTTTTAGTTCTGTAATATCGGTTGAGTAATGCATATATTTCATGACCACTCTGTATGCTCTTTCGCTGCTAATCTGATAGGTATGAAAAACTGCTTTACGACCTCGGAGATATTTAACGAGGTTTTTATAATCATCAACAGAAGAAACAATAAATTTGATTATATCATCAGGAAATGTTTTAGTGGTAAAATTTTTGATATTTAGAATAGTTTTGATTTCATCAACCATACCTCGGAAATCAACCACACCGTAAATAAAAACTGGTGGTGGCAAATTTTTTTTTGATATTTCTGAAACAGCAATAGGCTCTTTGTTTGTTAACACGTTGAATCTATTTGTTAGTTGAATTGGCTGATCTACTTGTCGGTTTGGACGTTTCCTTTTAGGACTATCAACAACTTGCCAAGGAATGGAATTATAATAAGTTGAGGGCTCGTTGCAGGATTCCATTTGTTCTTCATTCATGTTGTTGTTGCATATTGTAGGATTTACGAAATTACTTGCTGGCTGTGACTCATGTAAAAGATGTTCACTTTCGGGACTGCAGTTAAGCACTTTATCAACTTCAACTAACGGAATTGGTGGATTATATGGTTCATTTTGCATAATTATTAATTATGCCTTAATTAACAGTTTTTTAAATTTTATATTCAATGAACGAAAATAAATGTACCCTTACGGGTACATTTATTTGATTATTATATAACACTTCACTATTAAATTCAATTTATATTTCACTTTGGATGATAACAATGTTTGTTTACACTAACGTGAGGCACAGTATACCTGGCCGAAGGTTCGAAGCGAACTGAGGTC